AGCTAGCAGCTGTTGTTCACGCGCTGAAGATTTGGAGGCATTATTTATATGGCGTGTCGAGTGAGGTGTTCACGGATCACAAGAGTTTGCAATATTTGTTCAAGCAAAAGGAGCTAAATTTGAGGCAGAGGAGGTGGTTGGAGCTATTGAAAGACTATGATATCACCATCTTGTATCATCCCGGGAAGGCCAATGTAGTGGTCGATGCTTTGAGTAGGAAGTCAGACAGTATGGGCAGTCTTGCGTATATTCCAATTGGTAAGAGACCGCTTGCTCTGGATGTTCAGGCTTTAGCCAATCAGTTCGTGAAGTTGGATGTTTCTGAGCCCAGCCGTGTTCTAGCTTGCACAGTCGCTCGTTCTTCATTATTTGAGCGTATCATAGATCGGCAGTATGATGATCCTCATTTGCTTGTCCTTAGAGACACAGTGCGGCACGGAGGTGCCAAGCAGGTTACAGTGGGAGATAATGGAGTTTTGAGGATGCAAGGTCGTATTTGTGTGCCTAATGTGGATGGACTTCGTGAGTTGATTCTAAAGGAGGCCTATAGTTCCCATACTCTATTCATCCGGGCGCCGCTAAGATGTATCAGGACTTGCGGCAGCATTATTGGTGGAGGAGGATGAACAAGGATATTGTTGCATATGTAGCTCAGTGTTTGAATTGTCAGCAGGTAAAGTACAAGCATCAAAGACATGGTGGTTTGCTTCAGAAGATTGAGATTCCTGAGTGAAAGTGGGAGCGTATCACTACGGATTTCGTTGTTGGACTCCCACAGACTTAGAGGAAGTTCGATGCAGTATGGATTATTGTGGATAAGCTGACCAAGTCAGCATTCCTGTGGCAGTTTCCTATTCTTCAGAGTGATTAGTTGAGATTTACATCCGGAAGATTGTTCGTCTTCATGGTGTGCCCGTGTCTATCATTTCCGATCGGGGTACGCAGTTTACCTTGCATTTTTAGAGGGCAGTTCAGCGTGAGTTAGGTACGCGGGTCGAGTTGAGCACAGCATTTCATCCTCAAATGGACGGACAGTCCGAGCGTACTATTCAGATTTTGGAGGATATGCTCCGAGCATGTGTTATTGACTTTGGAGGTTCGTGGGATCAGTTCTTGCCGTTAGCGGAGTTTGCCTACAACAACAATTATCAATCGAGCATCCAGATAACTCCCTATGAGGCATTATATGGTAGACGGTGTCGGTCGCCGGTTGGATGGTTTGAGCCGGGAGAGGCTCGGTTGTTTGGTACAGATTTAGTGTAGGATGCATTGGATAAGGTTAAGATTATTCAGGATAGACTTCGTATAGCTCAGTCCAGGCAAAAGAGTTATCCCGACCGTAAGGTTCGTGATGTGGCATTCATGGTTGGAGAGCGAGTATTGCTTCGGGTGTCGCCCATGAAGGGCGTGATGAGATTTGAGAAGAAGGGCAAGTTAAGCCCTAGGTTCATTGGGCCTTTTGAGATTCTTCGGAGAGTGGGGAATGTGACTTACGAGCTTGCGTTGCCACCAGGTTTATCAGCAGTGCATCCAGTGTTTCATGTGTCCATGCTTCGGAAGTATCACGACGATCCATCCCACGTGTTAGACTTCAGCACTATCCCGTTGGACAAGGACTTGACCTACGAGGAGGAGCAGGTAGCTATTATAGACCGGCAGGTTCGACAGTTGAGATCGAAGAGTTATCCTTGGGTTCGTGTGCAGTGGAGAAGTCAGCTTGTTGGGGCAGCTACGAGGGAGTCCGAGTCTAATATGCGGAGCCGATATCCCCATCTTTTCATCGACTCGGGTACTTTTCTATGCCCATTCGATGACGAACGATTGTTTTAGAGGTGGAGAATGTAATGACCCAAACGGTCATCTCGTGTTTTAGAACCCAATTCGGGGTTCCGAGGTCTTCCAGACCTCATTTTTCTTTCTCCTCAAATTTGCCTTTAAAATTGATTAAAGTTGGCTTTGGTCAACGTTTTTGGTAATCAGACCCAGACCCGTGATTTGACAGTCCCGTAGGGTTCGTAGTAAAATATGAGACTTGGGCGTATGCCCGAAATTGAATTCCGATGTCCCTAGCCCGAGAAATGAATTTTTGAAGAAAATTGTTTGGTGGAAAATATAAGGATTTTTGGAAATGGAATAGTGTGTAATCTCGTTGGTATAGGGTCCGTATTTTGGTTCTGGAGCCCGGTACATGTTTGATATAGTATTTAAGTCGTATCTGTGAAATTTGGTGAAAAACGGAAGAGATTTGATATAATTCGGACCCTTGGTTGAGAAAATAGAAATTTTGAACTATCTTGAGAATTTCATGAGTTTTGGTGTTAAATTCGTTGTTTAAGATGTTATTTTGGCGATTTGATCGCACGAGCAAGTATGTATGGTGTTTTTAGACTTGTGTGCATGTTTGGTTTGGAGCCTTGAGGGCTCGGGTGAGTTTTGGATAGGCTACGGAGTGATTTTGAACTTAGGGAAATTGTTGGTATGCTTCAGCAGAGTTGGAGGCCTCTGATCTCGCAATTGCGAGATCAGGCTTCGCATTTGCGAGCTTCACAGGCTTGGCAATTGCGAGGCTTCCATCGCAAATGCGAAGGAAGCTGGGCCTGGGCATGTTCGCAATTGCGAACTTTTATTTGCATTTGCAAAGGAAACAGGGCAGGGCAACTTCGCATTTGCGACCAAAAGGTCGCATTTGCGATAGCAGCAGGAATGTGGATGGTTCGCAATTGCAATGCCTTTCTCGCATTTGCGAGCTTCGCAAATGCGAAGCTCCAGTCGCAATTGCGACATCTGCAGCAGTTAAGTTGGGACTTGGACGGGATTTTGAACTCATTTCTCAAATTTTCAAATCCTAAGCTCCCATAGAATTGGTTTATTTAGCGGTTAATTGATGTTAATTAGTTAATTATGCATAGATTCGGGCGGTTTGGAAGTGGAAATCAAAGGAAAAGTGGTAATTGAGGCTTGATTTTTGGCCGTGGAATCGAGGTAAGTGTTTGGTCTAACCTTAGCTTGAGGGAATAGGTGTTGTGTCTTATTTGCTACGTGTTATTGTTGAGTAAGACGTATAGGTGTGGGGACGAGTATCTATACGTTGGTGTCGAGCATGCAAGTGAGTCTTATACTGTGACTATTGTGACTCTTATTATGTATGTTCATGTTTAAATTGATGATTATCCATGTTGGACAAGTCGTATGATATTTTCTTGGTATTTGATCATTGTTGAGTATTGACTCAAGTTGAGACTTATTTTGTGAAGTTGACTGTTGAAACGAGATTGGATATAGCCGATTTCCTTGTCGGGATGTAATTGTTTCTATTGTTTGGGTGAGGAAGAGTGTAAAGCACGAAGGGTGATGCCGTGCACGATATTGTGAGAAAGTGTTAATGCACGAAGGGTGATGTCGTGCCATATTCAGTGAGTGTTAATGCACGAAAGGTGATGTCATGCCATATTTTTGTGAGTGTTAATGCACGAAGAGTGATGTCGTGCCATGCTTATGAGAGAGTAAATGCACGAAGGGTGATGCCATGTCGTTTCTGTTGATTTCTATGGTGAGGACGAGAGTAAAAGCACGAAGGGTGATGTCGTGCACTTGATACTGTGCTATCATTTTTGTTGGTTCAAAGTTGATATTTACCTTGCTTTTCTACTTTATTACTGTCAGAATTTGATATTCCCCTCAGCATGTTTCCCTTTCCCGTCTTTATCTGTTCAATTCTGTTATTATTGTTTTCTCGTATATGATTTAACTACAGGTTTATATGGTTGTCGTGTCCTAGCCTCGTCACTACTTTGCCGAGATTAGGCTCGACACTTACTAGTACATGGGGACGGTTGTACTGATACTGCACTCTGCACTTCCTGTGCAGATTTCGGTGACGAACCTCGTGAGTAGAGTTTGGGTGGCTGAATTCAGTCCACAGGAGACCCGAGGTAGATCTGCTGGCGTTCGCAGACCCTGGAGTCCCCTTCCATATGTTTTAGATTTCCCGTCTCTTTTCATTTTGAGAACAGTTGTATTTCTTTTAAATCAATGTTTGTAGAATTCCGTAGATGTTCGTGAAATTGTGACACTAGATCATTGGGTAACCTTGTTTTAGAACTTTGAGCTGTTATAAAACTTCTGCACTTTATATCTGCTTAGCTTTATTTACTAATTAATACTGTTTGGGTTAATAATAAATGAGTTAGAATGTATCTGTTAGCTTGCCTAGCTTTCACGAGTAGGCGCCATCACGATCCCAATGGTGGGAAATCCGAGTCGTGACATGTATTTACTTAACTACATGCCTATTTATTCTGAAACTGTTGTATTGTTTCTATTTTTATACTAGAGGGTAATGAGGGAGGTTAAAAAGCATGCACACTAAGAAAGGCGCTTGATCGCGAGAGATGTTGCTCTTAGAGTTTGGAGAGAAAGAACAATTTGTTGCTGTGGAAGATGGTGTAAGAAAAGTCAAGGTAGGCTTATTTATAGAGAAATTTTTTTCAGGAAATGATATTGTTTATTAAGAATACTCATCCTTAGTATAGCTGGAAAAATTGTTTGAGATTGTTGACAAGTCGAAAGGAAATATGTTGTTGAAGAAGATTCTGAATTTATGAACTATCGAGAATATGATGGAATGAATGAGTTCTTCAAGCCTCAGTCTGATGCAAATGTTGTTGATGATGGACTGCATAAAGTCCCGGATGAAAATATTGGAAGTGAGCAAGTGCAAGGTAAAGAGCAAGTTCAAGGGGAAGGTTTTAGTGTTGATAGATTGAGCAAAGATGCTCGATATGATAAAAAGTTATTAACTCAGAATGTTGGAATCGAGAAAGATGCAGATGGTGAAGCTAATGGTACGGAAGAACATGCATCGAATGCAGATGTATGTACTCGTATTGCAACGAGCAATTTATTTATGGAAGCATTTGTTGTTTGTCAAGAAATTTTAGGTGGAGATACACAGAAAGTTGTCACTACATGTATAAATGTGTTCTATCTTATTATATATCATTACCTGTAAGTTTTGAGTCATTGATTTCTTCTCTATCAATATGCAATGGAAGTCGAAAATAGTGGCGCTTCAATTGATAAGAGTCAAAAACTCCTCAATGATGATGCACTACTTGAAGCTGGAGTCGAAAAAATCCTTCTGCAAAATACTCCAAAGCTCCCCAACGATGCTGCACCAATGAATGAAGCTGAAACTGTTGAGATAGAGAAAGGTATGCAATCAGGTGATAGCACAGAGGAAGGCCAACATCACGGTATTCTACCCATCACGAACTTATTACATTTGATCCAGATTTTTATTTTCAGCTTGAAATTTTACATACTTCTTTTCTTTTTTGCATTTTTTTCATGATTATTCAGAAAGACTTCATGCAGCCGAAAAAGAAATTCGTGAGCTCATTCGGCTATATGAGAAAGGAGAAATACATCTTTTTACACATGTTGGCTCATAGACATATGTGAAGTTGCTTTATAGTATTTTCAAATTTTAGTCAGTATTATTCAATATTTTTTCCTTTTTTTACAATGAAGATGCAGTGATATCTGAAGGGAATGCAAGCAGATCTATTGGTATGCAAATGCCCATTTGCATCACAACACTTAGACCAGGTAGTTGTTTCCTGCAATGCGATCACAAGGTGTTATTGACGAATGTGTGTTTGTAATAGTTGTATTTATGTATATATTTTCCTTATTTTTCATATCTCATCTCATGGACCACAACTTCTACCAAATCCTAAAAGAAGGAAGCCATCCAGTTCTCCTAAAGTTTTGCTTGACAACAATGATATCCCCAACTTCAATCCATCTTCATTTTCGTTTGGTAGTATACAAGATACTATTTCAGAAGGCAATTCTGATGTTGTTGTTGTTGGTGAAGTGAGACAAGAAGATTATAAACAGCAGGGACTTGGAGAAGGATCTATTCCAATGGCTGTGGATTTTGCAGCTCATGTAACCATGACAGTTAGTTGAGACTGGGCAACAGGAGCAGCAAGCAAAAGGAAACTCAACTAAAGTAGGGAAAAGGAATCGCATGGCTAGTATTTAGTTGAAATCTCCTTATGTGATTCTTAAATAAAGGGTAAGTGGACAAGATTGGAAAGTAGAAAAGATTACTCATTTAGGCTGAAGTTTCTTATCAATCTATATCAGCCTGAAACAACTTCACGCTATATAAGCATGAAGTTTAGCTTATGTAGGTTTGAAGCATCATACTTTTTAGGCTGAAGTTTTCTAGAAAACACCACCAGTTATTTTTTAAATTTCCATAGTCTGAAGTTATCTTTATATATACCTGAAGTTCGCTTTCTATATCTTTAAAACTTCAGACTTTTTAGGTTTAAGTTTCCTGGAAACACTTCTTTCAAGATTCCGACAATTTTAATATATTAAATGTGAAGTTTTCAAAAGTTTTTGAAGATCTCTAAGTGAAGATAATTAAATATGATTTGTAAATGAGTGTAAGTAGATAAATATTAAAACTTTCTATAGGCGTGAATTGAAATCAGATTTTGTTTTTGAAGTTCAACAGTTAAAAAGCAGTACAAATTATGAAAATAATTGCAGAAATATGTATCATGAAGCTCAATTAGTTGTAGAAACTAATGGGAAATCTAAAGTACTTAATGAAAGCTCGATGAATTGCAGAAACATGTGTAGGAAAGGTACTCACAATGTAGCTGTAATTTCGAATTCGAAGTTTCTGATGAATCTAGTTCAAGTTTCTGGTTTTGTGATGAAGTTGTTGCAATGAAAAACTTGAGAACTTTGACGAGGGATGGAGGAGATTTTTGACGAGTGAGGTAGCAGATCACGCGATCAATGCCTTATTCAGGTTTTATATCGTTGGTCAGGGGTATTATTGTAATATTATTACTTATTTTTTAGCAACTGGCTACCAGTTCAATAATTTGTAAAAATAGGGTACAGGTTAAAAGGTGTTACAAATATAGGGTATGGCTGCAAATCCCCGATATTACCTCTTTTACGATAATATAAGATAAGTTGCCTGAGGGTGCCATATTTAGTTGATTGCAAGAACTGTTGAATCAACAATCGAAAGCATAAGTGTAAGCACAAAGCATATGAGAAGAATCAATGACGGATAGTAACTAATATGAGTGATAATCCCGTCCAACAATTTTATGTGTCTCGGAGTTATCTTAAAAAAAAGTTGACACTTCCAAATAATCTTCTACAATAAAGGTTTTAAAAGCAACAAAAGGGGTCAGCATCTTTAAGCATATCTCAGACTTCATCAGAACCGGGGAAAAGGTCGGACTTCAGAGTTTGTGAATTGAGTGTCACTATCACACCACCCTATATCGTACTTCCAGTTTCAACAAAAAGAAGATAGAGCTAACGCAAGCAAGATGATTTGTCAGATTCTCTTACTGAAAAAAAAATCAATTAACTTTACCTCTTTATTTGCTTGTTAGAACTCCATAAAGTGGCTGATATGCATACCTTTGTCAAATGGCAGGTTCATTGCTTATTTGATCACATCATTGATTTTGCCTTACATTAACCAAACAGGAACGTAATAACCATCATTGCGTTACCAACACGCTCCCTGCATGTGTCAAAACTAGTTAAGAGAACCTCAGAAAACAAACTTTGTTTTAATATTGGAGCTAAGTTCTATTTTGAGATTACTCATCTAAAAGAAAGTTTTATTGAAAGACTATTAATTGGTTTAAATACTGTGCTAGTGTTATAAGGAATCAAAAAGCAAAATGCATCTAAAGGGTCCAAGAAGGAAAACACAGAGCAGATACAAGCACTCCTTTTCCACTTTGTTTGTCACATTTCGATTGGGTAAAAAAGAGCAGAGTATATAATTGACTTGAAGTGTTTCATAGTTCATAGGCAGACTGGGTAGAAACTCTTCTACCAAAAAGAGACCGACCAAAGATGACCGAGGAAAGTATTCGGTTTTATTTTATATTTTGATAGTTGAGCAAAGTATATACTTTTTTTGGCAAAAGAGTAATTTCAAAAAAAAACATAGTTTTAAAGAACATAACTCATAGCTTTAAGGATTATAAAACTGCAGCTCTTTTAATTAGTTAAAGACATAATCTGAGAAAAGCACCAAATCAGCCCAAACTGTACACTGTTAGGCACACACAAAAACCCCCAGAACATGCAAAATAACAAGACTCAGATCACCACCAATCTCCACCCAATCAAGTACAGAAGTATACCTAGGATTACTTTTCTACAAATTTGAAGCTTTATAAAAATAGATGTGGATCCCAAATAGAATTTAAGTCTATTTCAGTTAAAAGGTAATGAGTAGTAAGAGAAAGTTATTTGCCACGTAGGAATCGATATCAGCTAGGCATGTTTGAAGAACTAAAAATAATTAAGAAAATATCAAGAGGGACTAACAAAGTGTAAATTTCACGACTAACACAAAAGGCCGACAAAAATAAATGAAAGGTTGAAGGAAAAGTGGCAATGCATGTATATTAACTTTCTACATAAATTCTGTAAACTCACTTTCTAATTTTGTAATCAACCATGACAGTAGCATAATACCATTCTTGAATGTCCCAATAGTAACCCCCTGATATACAGCTTTACCCTCAGGCCTCAGCTTTCCACCAGTACTCGGAACTTTACTCTCCTTTTAATACTACCCTGCCTGTCGTATCCAATGCCAATCTTACTATGCATCAACTTCACCGCCATATCAGCATTCCCTGTCTTTCTCAAGGCATTAATCAAGATAGTACGAACTTTTCCAGGAATTTCTCGACCTCTATCCACAATCCCATCAGCTAATTTGCAAGCCTGTTTTATACGACCTGCCTTGCACAGAACATTAATCATATCTTCAAAAGCTGTCTCAAGGATAACGCCCATTGGTGCCAGCTCATCCAATATCTTACACGCTCTTGCCACCTTCCCAGAAAGACAAAGCCCAGTTGAAAGCGCTCGAAAAGAAGCGGCATTTGGAGTTATACCCTTATCAATCATCATATGCCACAATTTCAATGCCTCTTCATTTTGATGCTCTTTAAACAAGCCACTGATCAATATTGTATATGTATAAACTGTTTGATCACAACCTTCATCTTCCATTCTCTTAAAAAGCACCAAAGATTCATCGATTTTCCCATTTTTGGCCAAGGCATCAATAAGCGCATTATAACAATAAGAGTCACGCGTACATCCCTTCTCGGCCATCTCCTCAAAGAGTTCTCTGGCCTCGTCAACTCTCCCTGCCTTTCCTAGACCATCAATAAGACTTGAATAAAACATGGCGTTGATAGCTACATTGTTATTTTGACAGTACTCGAGCCACTGCATTGCCTCGTCCAACCTCCCACTCTTGCATAAACCATTTACAATAACCCCAAATGTTACCTCATCTGGTTCAAATCCTTCATTCTTCATTCTGTCGAAAAGCCTCATCGCCTCATCCAAGTTTCCAAGTTTCATGTATGAATCAATCAAAGAAGTATAAATCGACAGATTAGGTTTAAAACCCTTCTTGACCATATTCTCGAAAACAGTGAACCCTTCCAAAACCTTCCCAATTTTACAAAGCCCTCCAATCACTAACGTATAAGCATGTGGTGGAATATCCAAGTCCTTTTCCTCCATTTCGTGATAAAGTCCCAAAGAAGCATCAAAATCTTCCTCCCCATAACACGCTTGCATCAGAGTCATGTACGTAATCTTGTCAGCTTCCACTTTCCTAACCTCCATATCTCTAAATTTCTCCATTGCCTTTTGAAGCTTCCCTGACCTACAATACCCTTTAATCATAGTATTATACGTAACAATATCCGGGTTAACTTTCCCGCTTTCCATAACCTCAAAAACGCGTTCAGCCGATTCAATAAACATGGAATTCACCAATCCATTCATCAAAAAGTTATAGGTATACAAACTAGGCTCAATACCACTTTCTTTCATTCGACGCCACACAAATAACAATTCTTCAACCATCCCAAGTTCTCCGAAACTCCTAATCAATGAATTAACCGACCCCACATTCATCAACAAACCACTACCTTTAAGCTTAAATTCACTAAACACATGCTTAATTCTATCCAATTCGCGTGAAGCAGATAAAATCTGAATTAAAAACACATAGCATTCAACATTATGAGCATACCCTTTTTGCTTACCAGCCCAATAAAAGAAACGAAACGCGATATCAGGCTTACCAGCAAGGTCAGCTGACTTCAACACATATGCAACAAAACTGGGAGACAATTTGATCAAAAATTTGCAACAATAAGCATCTAAATTCTGCTCCATTGAGTGTGAATTGTCTAAAAGATTCAAAATTTGTGGGACCCATGGTGATATTTTGAGATCTTTAGGGTCTGTAACTAAATCAGAAAGATCAACGAATGGATTTACCCATTCTGGAGGTGGGATGTTAAGAGTAGAAAATACCCTTTTGGGTTTTGAAGTGAAATTTAAGTAAAGATTGGATCTTTTTGATTTGGGTACCTGGGAAAGTGGAAAATTTGAATAAAATGGGTCTGAATAACATCGACTTATTTGGAACTGAGACGAATTTGATTGAGGGATTGGTAGTTTGAAGAAGAAAAAATGGTTTGTGCCATTGGGTGGGGTATTGTTGTTGGATTTGGAAGCAGAAATGGAACAAAGGGGTTTCAGAGTTTTTCTCATCTGGGGTTTTAGTGGTGCAGCTTTTAACAATTTTCGAGGAGGTTCAGTTCAAATGTGTCTTTAGGTTTTTGGCTCTTTTAATGATGCAAAACTTCTGTTTAAAAATTTAAATCTTGACATGGTTAACTGTTTAAGTTATAATAAAAATCTTGCAAAACTCTGATATCAAAATGGTTCTATGGTCTAGCGGTTAGGACATTGGACTCTGAATCCAGTAACCCGAGTTCAATTCTCGGTAGAACCTCTTTCGTATTTTCTTTTTTTTTCCTTCAGAATATTCTATTTGCACTTTGGAAATAAATGTACATAAATATTTCCTCTATCTCACTCTATGTGATACAGTTGTTATTGGAAGAGTTATTTTTTAATATATTGAATTGTTAATTATTATGACTTATAATACTTTTATGTAGTTTTTAAATCGCAAATTTTGTTTTAAAAAATTAAAAAGTATATGTTCAAATTCATACTAAAAACAAGAAAGATTAATATCTCATATTCAGAATCGTAGAGTCATATAAAATGGGACGAACGAAATATTACTTGTTTTTAAAATGTTATCCTCGTTTTTTATCTCACTCTATGTTATACGGTTATCATTCGAATAGTTAATGAGCTTTTCTAGTGTGATTTTTTAGTATGCTTTTTTAATATACTAAGTTATTAATTACTATGACTTATAATATTTTTATGTAATTTTTGAATCGTAAATTCATACTAAAACTAGATAGATTAATACCTCGTATTCAAAATCGTGGAGTCATACAAAATGGGACGAAAAGGGTGATTAGTGGATGTAACCCAAGTCCATCGGACGAGACTTTTTAGAGTGAGAAATTCTCACATCTTACTACACTCAGAATGGAGAATTGTCACGATCTGGACTTCCCACTGTCGGGATCGTGATAGCGCCTACTCTTGAGAGCTATGCAAACCAACAGACACATTCTAACGCATTAATTATTAACCCAGACAGTAATAAATAATAATTAAAGCTAAGCAGATATAAAGTGCGAAAGTTTCATAACAGCTCAAAGTTCTAAAACAAGACTACTTCCAATGATCTGGTGTCACAATTTCACGAACATTTAAGAATTTGTACAAACACGGGTATAAAAGAAATACAGTTGTTCTCGAAACGAAAAGAGACAGGAAATCTAAAACAGAAGGAAGGGGACTCCAAGGTCTGCGAACGTTGGCAGATCTACCTCGGGTCTCCTGTGGACTGAAGGTAATAACATAAACTCTACTCACGAGGTCTGTCACCGAAATCTGCACAGAAAGTGCAGAGTGCAGTATCATTACAACCGACCCTATGTACTGGTAAGTGCCTAGCCTAACCTCAACGAAGTAATGACGAGGCTAGGACACGACAAACAACATAAACCTGTACAGTTAACAATATACTAATAGAGTAACAATAATAGAAGCTAAATAGAAATTAACGGGAAGGGACAACATGCTATGGGGGTACCAGAATCAGGAATCACATTAGGAACGGAAATTAAACAATTAGTGCACTTGAACCGATAACAGTAGATAATCACAGCAAATAGAAAATGCACGGCATCACCCTTTGTGCTTTTATTCTCAATTCTCACCATGCAATCAATAATAGAAATGTGTGCGGCATCACCCTTCGTGCTTTATCTCTCTTCCTCACCATATGCATAAATATAAATGTAAATGTGCACGACATCACCCTTCGTGCTTTATCACTCTTCCTCACCATATGCATAACTATGAATGTGCACGGCATCACCCTTCGTGCTTTATCACTCTTCCTCACCATAAGCAACAACAGAAACAATAACCACCCGGCAAGGGCATCACTAACAAATAACTTCATTTCATCATTTAATTTCACAACAGAAATCTCAACTTGAGCCAATACTCAACCAATATCCAAAACCAAGAAAACATAGTAAGACTTGTTTAATATGAGTAATAACTAGTTTCAACAAGAACAATATGTATAAAGGAATACAACGGTCATAAGTATAAGACTCACTCGCATGCCATGACCCGACAACGACGTATAGATATTTGTCACCACACCTATACGTCATATTAAATAGCTAACAAGTAGCAAATAGGGCAACAATACCTAATCTCTCAAGTTAAGGTTAGCCACAATACTTACCTCGATTCCACGGCCATAATCAAACATCAATTACCGTTTTACCTCTCAATTCCACTTCCAATATGCTTGTATCTAGTCATAATTAACTTAATAACATCAGTAAATGGCAGAGAAATCAATTTCAATGTTTAATTCTAGGTTTTCCAACATTTTCTCCAAAAAAGTCAAAAACCCAACCCCGGGCCTACTTGGTCAAGACTTGAAGTTCTGACCAAAACCCGATTACCCATTCACCCCCGACCGGATACATAATTGATTTTGGAATCCGACCTCAATTTGAGGTATAAATCCCCAAATTTCAAAATTCCTAAATTCTACCCAAAAACACCCAATTCCCCCATGAAAATCCCTCGATTTTGAGAAGAAATCTTGTAAAAAGATGAAATAGATTGAAGGAAATGAGTTAGAAATTATTTACCTATGATTTGAGGAAGAAATCTCCTTTAGAAAATCGCCAATGGGAGCTTAGAGTTTGAAAATTTGAGAAATGAAGTGAAAATCCCGTCAAAACTTGTTTTTGAAAAGTTGCAGGTATCGCATTTTGCGATCACAGGCTCGCAAATGCGAAGCTTGGCCTGACCTGCCGCCTTCACAAATGTGAACAGATGTTCGCAATTGTGGCCACTGTTCAAGTCGCATTTGCGACGATGAACTTCGCAAATGCGCTGATTCTTCGCAATTGAGGTGCTCGCATTTGCAAGAAATGCGAAGTCTGCAGACCTGCAATACCAGAAAATTTTCCTTAAGATTCAACACACTCTGTGACCTATCCAAAACTCACCCGAGCCCTCGGGGCTCCAAACCAAACATGCACACAAGTCTAAAAACATCATACGAACTTGTTCGTGCGATCAAACCGCCAAGATAACATCTTAAACAACGAATTTAACACCAAAACTCATGAAATTTTCAAGATAGTTCAAACTTCTTATTTTCTCAACCAAAGGTCTGAATCACGTCAAATTACTTTCGTTTCTCACCAAATTTTACATATAAGGTTTAAATATTATAACAGACTTGTACCAGGCTTCGGAACCAAAATACGGGCCCGATACCATCAAGTTCCAACACTATTCAATTTCCATAAACTATTATATTTTTCAATTAATAATTTTCTTCAAAAATTCATTTCTCGGGCTAGGGACCTCGAAATTCGATTTCAGGCAAATGCCCAAGTCCCATATTTTACAATGGACCCTCCAGGACCGTCGAAACATGGGTCCGGATCTGTTTACCTAAAACATTGACCGAAGTCAACAAAAATCATCTTTTAAGCCAAAATTCATTATTTCTTAAAAAAATTCACATAAGGGCTTTCCGTAGATATGCCCGGACTGTGCACGCAAATCGAGAATAATAAAAATAAGGTTTTTAAGGACTCGAAATACGGATCTGACTTCTAAAATAAGAGATGATCTTTTGAGTCATCGCATTCTCCACCTCTAAAACAACCGTTCGTCCTCGAACGGACATAGAAAAGTACCTGAGTCGGTGAAAAAATGGGGATATCGGCTCTGCATATCGGACTCGAACTCCCATGTAGCTGCCTCAACAGGCTGACTTCTCCACTACACACGAACCGAAGGATAACTCTTCGATCTCAACTGTCGAACCTACCGGTCTAGAATAGCTACCGGCTCATCCTCGTAGGTCAAGTCCTTGTCCAACGGGATAGTGCTGAAGTCTAACACGTGGGATGGATCGTCGTGATACTTCCGAAGCATGGACACATGAAACACTGGATGCACTGCTGATAAACCTAGTGGCAACGCAAGCTCGTAAGTCACATTCCCCACTTTCCGAAGAATCTCAAAAGGCCCAATGAGCCTAGGGCTTAACTTGCCCTTCTTCTCAAATCTCATCACGCCCTTCATGGGCGACACCCGAAGCAATACTCGCTCTCCAACCATGAATGCCACATCACGAACCTTACGGTCGGGATAACTCTTTTGCCTGGACTGAGCTATACGAAGTCTATCCTGAATAATCTTAACCTTATCCAATGCGTCCTACACTAAATCTGTCCCCAACAACTGAGCCTCTCCCGGCTCAAACCATCCAACCAGCGACCGACACTGTCTACCATATAATGCCTCATAGAGAGTCATCTAGATGCTCGATTGATAATTGTTGTTGTAGGCAAACTCCGCTAATGGCAAAAACTGATCCCACGAACCTCCAAAGTCAATAACACATGCTCTGAGCATATCCTCCAAAATCTGAATAGTACGTTGTCGCACCTCCTATTTGCCGCGCCCGCGGGGCGCGTGGGGAGTTTTCTCCAATTGAAGGACAGTCGAAACGGGATTTGTTTATTTGTTTTAGAGTCGCCACCTGGGAATTTTAAGGCGTCCCAAGTCACCAATTATAATCCCTGAATCGAGGAGAATATGACTCTGTTTATTATTCTGCGAACCAGAAATCCTGAGTAAGGAATTCTGTTAATTCGGAAGAAGGTGTTAGGCATTTCCGAATTCCGTGGTTCTAGCACGGTCGCTTAACTGTTTTTATTATTGGCTTAATTATCTTGATTTTTATTAAATACTTTTTGTTACGTG